ACATATCCAACTCACCCTACCTGGTCCTCAACAGTGTCTCAGGTTTGCTCTCTCTGGAGCTTGGGTGGGCTTAGTGGGCAAGGGGGCTATAAGGCTCCTCTGTAATCCATGCTGGAACTAGCAGAACTTGACCTGAGCCATGAGTACCTCCTTTGGGCCCTCTACATCATGGCACAATAGAGAGGGGCTCTTGATGGAATGCCCGTATTGCTATAATTCTTTTCTCTTGTCAATCCCCTCCAAAATTTCCACAACCTGAGGATCCAGGGTAGGAAAGAAAGGCCCTTTGTGCCTTCTTAAATAAGAGAAGGGATCTGAGGTTCAGGAGGTGGCAGTTGGCAAAACCACAATGGCTCTGGCCTGGGCTATCAGAGGCAGAGGACAAAGGATCCCCTCACCCAGCCTGACACTGTAGCTGGAGAACCCCCACAACTTGGCCTGGGATAATGGGGCCCAAGCTCGCCTGACCTGGAGCCCTACATGATAGGGGCCCACCCCTGGCTGAGAGGTCTCCTAGACTCACCTGAACACAGAGCTGTGCAACAGATGCCTTTCAGAGGTGGAGCTCACCTAAGAACCCAGAAGGTACATGTTTATTAAAAAGCACAGTCAGGAGGAGCTGCATAAAATAGACCAGCAGCCTCCACATGGCTGTGGACAGAAGCTAGACCCACCCTTAGCTCTCTCTCTCAGGGTTTCAGTGAGTGCTCTATTAAAGGAATAACAGCTTCAGAATACTTTAAGATTATTAATTTTATTATTTGGTTCTCAAACCTGGCTTCCCCTCAGGGTAAGAACAAGTTTGTTGGCTTAAATCTGTTGGAAATGGTTGGCACAAATTCAGATTGATGGGGGGGGTGTTGGTTGCCACAGCAACTGAAGAGCCATTTTTAATTCCACTCTGTGAACCATATATGCTAAACGCACAGGGAGGCCTGTGGTCATGGGTCTCAAGCCCTCCAGAGCTAGGCTGTATGCCCCAGAAGCCACCATTTCTAGTCTTTGTGGCTTCTCATTCAGGCTGTCAGCCTCCAAGAAAAGACTGGAAAGCAAGCAGCTGCAGAGACTCTAGTGTTCAGGAAAGAGGCCCGTCTGTCAGGGACAGCAGCCACAACTGAGGCCATCCTTATTCTGGAGATGTAGTTTCTCTCAAGCACTGTGTCCTCAGTAGCCTCAGCCCCTCCAGGAAAAGGAACACAGCTCAGTGTCCTGAGTTCCCTCAAACATCTGTCAGATCTATTGCCTTAATCTTGCATGCAGCACTATCTTAAGGCCAGCTTCGTTGCCTGTCTGTGTCCTGGGTCCTGTTCTCCCTTAAATAGTCTGCAGACTCTGGAAACTATGAGATGCAGAGGGAAGTGTGGCCTCCCATGACCCCGGGCCCTGGGCCCTTAGCCATGCAGACAGCCTGGCCTGCTCCTTCCAAGCTTGGCCCCAATTGGGTTTTGTCCCTAAGGAGGCTGTACCCACAGCAGCAAGCCCTGCCAGAGACTCTACAGGCTCTCCCAGCCACCCTTGGCAGGAGGCAGAAATATCTAACAAGTCACTCTATGTCTTCCTGTCAAGGAGGACTGATCCTCCAAGAGATCCAAAGATTCAAAGGCTACTAGGGAGGCTACGGATTTGGTCAAGAGGAAGCTGGAGCTACCTACCCTACAATGTGACTGTCCGGTTTACCCCTCACAGAATGTCCAGCAAACTTAGCTTTCTGGAAGGGAGAATAGGAACTGAGAGTAATAGAGGGTCACGTATCATCCTTCTACTGGAGACACCTATAAACTGAGGGAAAATGCATCTTTGATGCTAATTAAACTGCAAATGTACAACACACAAGAGCCATAGGTACAGAGGTGAGCTCCCAGTGCTGGGGGATTGAGGCTCATAAATGGTTCTTTTGAAGGTCAACATTCTTTGATGCATTAGGATTTCTATCAGAAAGTAGTAACCTGAGTGGCGCCTGTGGTTCCACCTCCAATGCAAGCTGGGCTGAGTCTTCCCTCAACAAGTCCTTCTATAGCAGGAATGGGGACAATGTCCTCAGAGGCAACATAGCTACCACCTGTTTATATACAGCCTATGAGCAAAATATTCTTACAGTTTTAAGTTGTTGAGAAAATTCAGAAAAATAATGTTTCATTGCACACAAGAACTATGTGAAATTTAATTCTTGGTGCTCGTAGATTACTCTTCTTCAGCATCTAGCCATGACCACTTGCTGATTGGTCACCTACACTGCAGTGTGGAACACTGCCAAAAAGAGCTGCAGTCTGGCTGTTACAGAGGGGAAGCCTGGTAGATGGTCAATTCTGTGTGCCCAGTGGGGGTATTGTCCTCCACTTTTCAACCACACAAATCAAGGCATTGCTGAGAAGGAGTTTGATAAAACTTGTTAATGTCAGGTGACTGTTTAAAGCACAGGTAAAGGAATCATCCTGGACGACTAGGTGGTTGACCTGGTGGCCAGAGCTGAGGCCTCCATGACAAAGACAGAATCCTGCCACAATGGCCAGATCAGCTCGTGCTTAAGGGTTCTGTCCCATCAAACATCACATAAGCAAACTCCATCCAATATGCCCATTCCTAGATGCAACTCTATCTAGACACAGATGTAGATACTCCCTCCTCTGTGTCTCTACAGGGACCAGGCTCAGATCCCATTAAGTGCCTTAAAATTTTGAGATAAAATTTGCCTTAAAGGGCCAGGGAATTAGCTCGTGGTTCTGCTGCCTCCTGCCTCAAAAGCACAAGGACCCAAGTTCAATCCCTGGTACAAAAAAAAATTTTTTTCCTTGAGTGAGGAACCAAGGATTTTATCTTTTCCTCAATGAGAATCTTGGTATATGTTTGAAACCATCTTAAATTTTGGTTTACTTGGTTGCCATTGTCCTGGTCTTGTCCTTTTCTTTTGCTTTCCTCTTTTGGCCAGTTAAAAGAGGAAATCTGCAGGAGTTCTTAGCCACGTGCCTCTGTGACACAAAGTAGGTACATTTCTTTCTGGCAAAAATTGGGAAAGGTGAACAGCATGGTGAGGCTGTGGCCCATGTTACCTCTGAGGCCACAGGACAGAGTCCTCACTGAGGAGCAGCATAAGGTAGGGCTCAGGGCTGGGAACTGTCACTTGGTCACCTTAGGACAGGGTAACTGCAGACATTCCAGGACTCTGCAAAGACCAGGCTTAGTGGCAAAACCTGCCCTAGACATCACCGCACTGAAGCGCAAGACTGTGACTTCTAGCAATCATTGTGTAGCGAGAAAGAAGACCTCAGACTTAAGGTTGCCCTGAGGTCACAAAACAGCCACAGAGCCAACTGGGCACCCCAGAATGGTACATCTGGGGTCCAGTACTAATGACCAGGCAGCTCCCAGGGCAGTAGCAAATGCAAGGTGGGTAACTGGCAAAGCACAGGACTGCTCTGTGCCTCAGTTTCCCCATCCCACAGGAGTACTTCTCTGTGTCAAGTGCAGAGCACGGCATGCCAGATGGAGCATCACAGCACCCCTGCCCCAACACCACCCCAGAGATTAGATCTACTCTTTTAGCAGCTCCAAGGATTGGAAAATGAGGTAGCTGGGGCAGTGGTAAGTGGGCAGGGCTAAATGGCCCAACACTCCTTCTCCCATGAAGCTTGAGCCCCAGGCTTTGAATCAAGATATTCCAGTTTCTACTGAAACTCACTTACTCTGAGGCTGTGGTCCACCCCTGGTCGGTTCCTCTGAAGGAGGTTTGGGGACAGAATGCAAGCTGTGCACAGAGCCAGGCACCAGAGCCGGCATGAAAGCCGGGCATCCAGGGCCTCCTCTGACTACTTCTGGGGTCCTAGACCACATTACAATGGACTGAGAGCCCCTTGAGGGCAACAGCAGTGGCCTGTGTTCACCCTTGCACCACACACCTGGGTCACCTCCATGGAGATGTAAGGGCACAGGCGTCAGAGTCCTCCCCGGTGTGAGGTCCATCCTTGCCCCTCTGCCTTCCCATATCTTTACGACCATTGCACAGGTGCCACCGGGATGCTCTTGGCTTCATTCTAGCCTCTGGGGACCATCCTAGGAAGCCAAGATACCTTGAGGCCTCTGTGACTTACAGAGAACTGGAGGAGAAAAATCCCCTTGGGTTCCCTTCAGTGACGTTCATGGTTCATTGCTGCATCCCCATTGTGGAGCACTAGGAGTACGCTGGGATGAAGGGCACCCAGCCGTACCCTGATCAGAGGCAGCATGCCCAGGGGCTGTGGAAGCTACAGCTGCAGTACCCCTCTATCTGATTCAGCCTTTGTGATTTTTATTAGCAACACCTCCCCTGCTAGGAGTTCCAGCTTCAGGAACCTAAAAATCCATGATGGCAGGGAACTGAGGGACCCTGGAGAAGGGGCCAGAATCTGCACACCCAGGGGAATAAAGTGGCCCTGCAGCGCTGAAGACCAAGGAGAGGGACAGGTGGGAGGCATGGGGATAGGTTCCCTGACTGGGCAGGCCCCAGTCACAACTGCCAGACTTTGAAGCTGACGATATCCCAGGGGCATTAACCTTGGAAAAAGTCCCTAGCCAACCCGGACCCACAACTTAGGCAACTGTGACCCACTGCAGGTAAGATGCACATGCCTTCTCTCTGTCACATGCCTTCCTCTACAGGAAACTTCAGGGAGGGGGTGTCCCAGATGTGGGATGCTCGCTAGCCAGCCAGACCCTGCCCACATGGCAAGACCAGCCCTGTTGACTCATGGCTGGGATGGAGTCGACCGACTTTGCCTCAGTTGTACCATGTTTGAATTTGACAATATTCTATTAATACAAGGACTATGAAAATTGCTCCAAAATCAATTTCCTTTCTCACATTTCTGTTCTTGGAACCCTCGACAGACAGGGATTATCTTTAAAAATGAAATAAAATCATCCCGTCCTCCTTTCAGGGAAATGCTTTAATGTGAGTTGTCTGAATCTGTTGGAAACAGTGGTAAACCCTGGTCGGTTGTCTCTTTAAATCGGCTCTGCAGTGTGACAGGCGGCTGGACGGGCTGGCTGGGAAGAACCATTCCTACCCTGCCGCAGGGAGCCCGGACACTGCTGCCGCCATCCATGCCTCCCCCAGTCCCCATGGTTACGGCTCCTGCTTCCCGGCCCGTTCCTCATCCCTAGCTGCCGCCACAGAAGACAGGCGAAGGCGGCTGGCATCCCCCAGCAGAATCCTGGAAGCTGCCCGCCGAGCTCGCACTGAGTGCCTGCTCTCCCCAGCTCTGACTCATCCTTTCCCGGTGCAGAACACTGTCACTGCTGCTGTGCACTGGCCACAGCCTGTCGCTGGGCTGCAGCCCCTGCAATCTGTTGATAACTCCACTTCGGAGCTCCAGTCCAATGCCTCTGGTGATGGAAAGCTGTTCCCCAGCACAAGGAACCCGCTACATCGCACCAGTGACAGGAAGCACAAGATCGGTGCCTCTCCAGCTGTTTTTGCCAAAATAGGTGAGAAGTTGGGCTGTCATCCTGGGGTCTGGGGGAGGAGAATCTTCGCGGTAGGGAGACAGTGGGATGAGCGTGGGAAGGCAAGGGCTGAACTGTAGCGTCTACTCACCAGGGCTGTTTCTCAGGCAAACATGCCAGCCCCGAGGGAGACAACTCCTGAAGCAGATTCTGAATAACTTTGGGTGAAGGGGAGGCACAGAACCACAGCCAAAACCAAGCAGACTTCAGCCTCAGCAAGAGCATCTGTGTGAAGATGCCAGCCCCTGAGTCTGGGCACAGTAAGCGGCAGAGGATTCTGCCTGCCAGGTCAGGCTGTGTACTGGGAGATTAATTCGGGCTTACTTAATTCTCTTGATTTAAACTGACAGACATGTTTATTTGGCTTGGTGCAGCCTGAAACGATTGAGTTTAGTTCTTGTATTGGGCTGGTGACCACAGATTGATTTTTAAATAAGGAGAGGGAATGTTGCCCAAGAGAGCAGTGGCTGGCTGCTGGCGCTTCCCTCTGAAGTCCCAGAGGTTCATAAGCCCAGCCTGTCACCTGGATCCCCTGAAGGTTCCAGGTAGAGCCTGAGCCAGCCACTCCAACAGGCTGGCCCAGGTCTAGAGAAGCTGAGAAGGGGAAAACTTTGGAAGGTGCTGGCTGCTCCCAGGTGCTAACCTGTAACAGACACGAGAGACCTCAAGCTGCACACAGGAGAAGGGCCCTCCGCCTGTGCCTCTGACCAAGTGCTGTCTTTGCAGATGGATACAGCCCACGGACCCTCACCCACCCCATCAGGGTCACCCTGAGGCACCCTGCCCTGGAGCTTGACCTATAGCTGCTGTTGGGGACTTTGACCTTCTGGACGGCCATGGAGCCTGGTGGGGAGAAGGGTGCGACATAATTATCTCTGCCAGCAACACCGCCCCCACCGGTGCTCTCACCTCAGTAACTCTGCAGGGCTCATGGTGAGTACTCCCAGCTCAATGCAGCCCTGCCAGCCAGCTGGCCAGGCCAAGGGCTGTTAGCCCCTGTTGGAGAAGACCCAGGCCAGAAAATAAGTTGTTAGTCAACAGCAGTCCAGCACAAACTCCGTCCTGGGGTGTGGACGTTTCACGGGGCAGGGCAGGGGGATGCAAAATCTGACAGTGCTTAGGTCTCGGGCTGCCTGCGCGGGTTCCTTTTGCTTGCCGGCTCACTCACTGCTGTTCATACTGATTGTCTGCAGCCATACAGCAATGTCGAATCATTTAATCCGGAGAGTGGGGTGCATGCTCCAGGGAAATCTTGCCTGGCCTGAACTGAGATCCCTCCTATTTGGTGCCCCATAGCCAGGTCACAAGGCCTTTCTCACTGCCCCTGCCCTGCAGAAAGTCAGTGGGCTTCTGTAGCCAAAGCTGTGATTGCGGGGGGGAAATAAAGGGTACAGTGTGGTCAGCTGGCTGGAGCAGCATCCGGGACCCAGTGGGGGCCCATTCCAAAGGCTCCTGCAAGGTTTTATTGTGGTGGCCACCAGTCTGGACTCTGGGAAGGTTGACAGGAGAGTAAATAATGCATTGTGTGTATTTGTAAGGGACAGCTGACAGGGGCACGTGCAGAGAATGCTGATGGCCGGTTAGGACAGTGCCTTCGCGGCCCAGATGCCGCGTGAGCACCTCAGTGCAGACCAGAGTGTCTGCCTCATGAGGAGCATTCTATCTGAGTCACTATTACATTTTCTTCTTGTTGGATTCAAAATGTCCAAATGAGAGAGATACTTTCTGCCAAATTCCAGCATCATCTGAGACTGCTGCTCTGAGCTCTGAGGCTGAAGGCCATCAGCAGCATCCCTCTCAGACATCTGACAAGGTTACGTGGGCAAGGATCATGCAGCTCTCTGAGGACAGCAGGTTGTCCCTGGGCCTTCTTGACTGTGGCCTCCAGGTGCCACACCCAACATGGCCTTCTTTTGATGGCATTATCCAAGCGTTTCTGTCCTCAAACTTAGGATGTTTTCAAAATGGAAATTTGCCCTTGGCAGATAACAGGCAAACTCAAAGGTGCTTCGGGAGGCGACAGTGGCCACAACACCACCTTGTGGCCTCTTGAGGGGTTGGGGGAACCCCACCTGTCTCTGACCTATACAGAACCTTTGAACACCTGCACACAGTCCCCTATCCAGGAAGCCCCATGCTCTGCCTGCTCCTCTCCCTGTCAGTCAGTCCATACGGGGACCCATCTTGGTCTCTAATAGCCCTATGGAAATCTCTCTACCACACCAGGGTCATGCCTGGTCCCAGCAGCTCCATGCTGCCCATAAAGGAACCTCCTGTTTCCACCCTATAAAGTCAGCCCAGTAAGCTGCGACTGAAGACTGTGGAATTTCAGTAGTGTGTTGGGTTATTATTCTTAATAAATAACATTCACACCTGTGAGAAATTCTGAAAGGCACAGAAAATGTGTGGGGTTGCCCTGGCTGACGTTGGGGCACCTACTTTCTGCGTGTCTTGAGGCTGTGGTGCAGATGCTTGAGGAGGCTCACTTGAGCCCAGGGACAAAGAAGGGTGGAGTGGTCCTGGCCCTGCCCAGCCTCAGCTAATGTGTTATGGCCATCAGCATAGTGCCCACTGGAGCTTCCCTGACACCTGTTCAGAAGCAAGCAGCCTGTTCAGCTCCCCATTGTGAGTTGTAGCTCATGCTCTTTTGAACCATACACCTGGGTTGCAACAGTGCTGGATTCTGAGCCTCTTTTCAGCAGGCCTGGGTTGTACCATGTTCCACCCCCTGGGCCTGCTCCTTCCCCCGAGTATGCGCCATATCTGGCTCTTTGCACTCTGATGGGACAGTGAGTCACTCCTCTCCAGAGGGGCCATGTCCTTTAGGACAGCATCCAGTATGTGAGGCCAAGGGCACCTCCTCCCCTGAGTGGTGCATCTGCATCACAGTTGATGACAAACAAAGCAGACGTGGTCTAGCTTGTTTCTGCAATAGGCACTGTTGTTATTGAAACCCAGCAGACACTAAGATACATATGAGTTTGCACTCTGTCTTCTGTAATCCTCATATTTAACTCCAAGAAAGTATATTTTTGCCGGGCATGATGGAGTATGCCTGTAATCCCAGCACTCGGGAGGCTGAGGCAGGAGGATCGCTGTGAGTTTGAGACCAGCCTGGACTACATGGTGAGTTCCAGGTCAGTCTCAACTACATAGTGAGACCTGTCTGAAAAAAATAGAAAAAGAAAGTATGTTCTTAAAGGAAACAAAATGACATCTGTGAATTACAGTAAAAATTGTTCAGGTCTTTGTTTTTTGGGTTTTTTTTTTTTTTTTTCACTTCCTCAAGAGTTTCTGAGTCTGGTGTACTGAAGAAGGCACCTTTTACATACACAGTTCTGGTCTTCCAACACTTCTGTTCTTGGCAATAAGAATTAATAGGAGGATGGATAGTGTGATGGGTGTGAAATGGTGTGGTGTGGGTGGTGTGGTGCAGTATGGCACGTAGGCTAGTGCGGGATGATGTGGTGTGGAGTGGGATGGTGTGTTGCATACGTACAAGAAAGATAGTGTGGCCTAGGGTGACATGGTGTGGGATGGAAGGGTGTAGTGCAGTACGGCAGGGTATAAGATATAGAGCAATGTGGGGTGGGATTATAGCACGGCATACCTTGGGGTGGGAGGGGTGCTATAGCATGGGATGGTGTCAGAGAGTGTGGTGTGCGCCTGATATTACAAACAGAAAGATGTAGTATAAATTGGTGTGGTATAGAATGGTGCTGTGCAGGGCAGTGTGAAATGAGATGGTAGAGTCTGGCTTAGAGTAGGATGAGGTAGTGTATGTAGGGTGGGGTATGTGGACTGGTGTATATGGGATGGCGTACGGTGTGGTTAGGGTGGGGTAGTTAGGATGACATGCTGTCCTGTAGCGTATATATTTCCGGTAGTTTCAGCATTTGTGTCAGGTTGATCAGACATGCCTCTCCCATCCTCCAGCGTTTGTGCTGGTGCTGGAGCACCACGTCTGGGCTTTAGTGGCTTTGTTTCGGTATGTTAACTGCCAGCAGCAGACCTCAGGAGCTCAGACAGCTTCCTGGGTCTCTAATTGCTCTGCATTCGGGGCTGACCTCACTAATAATAGAATGGTCTTTGCCACATTGTTCAGGGGACCCAAGACCCAAGAGAGTCAGAGGCCAGGCCTGTTCCAAATGTTTGGAGTGGGGTGGAGGGGTACCCGGATATATAGTGCATTTAGAGTACCTTTGTGACTATTATTTCCCTCTCCATACATAAATGCCCTACATTTAAAAATGGACGGGATTAAGACCCATAGGGACCAAACATATATATGGAGGGCAGAGACCTCTGACCCTGGAACTACAGCTCCAGGACAAGCCTCAGGAAAATGCTGTTTCCCTACAGTGCCCTGAAAGGTGACTCAAGAAGGCTGGGAAGACAGGAGACACAGATATCCATCTGCGTGAGGGCAGTTCTGGAAAGACCAAAATCAGGACCTGGACAAAAAAGAGAGGATGAGACCCTCACTCACAGATCTGCACTGTTAGAAAATGTGTGACCCTCATGTGCCGATCTATGGACCTTAACAAAGGCCCACAAAAGATTGTATGTCACAATTACAAATATTTTAGGACTTTTCACAAATTTTTAGTCTCTTGATTTTTAGTCAGTCTAATATCTAAATTACTAAATTGCTAAAAAGGTAAATTACTAAAATTTACCTTTATGTCACAGATGGAGTTTATCATCCCACCTAACATTTCCCCTTAAATTAGGAAATGTAAACATGTAACTACAAGTCTAGAAGTCTCTGTGATAGTTTAACACATTTTTCTCCAAATCTCTTTATAATCTACCTAGACTATATACCCCTCCAAAAAGGGAACCATAACAAGCTATATTTTGTAATGTCCAATTAGGGTAATCTGTTTTTCAAATGGATAAATTACTTATCTTCTGCCTTCCCCCCAAAACACTTTCATGAAAGGTTGATAGATCAATAAAATGCAATTATCATTAAAAAGGCAGACAAGGGAATGCACAAGGCTGTAATTAAATCAACCTCAGTTGGCACAGAACCAGGAAGAACCGAGGAGAACCCAGTTGCTGCCTCAGCCAGAGCCTACAGGGCTGGCTAATGGGTACCTCACTGTGAGGAAAGGAATGTGACTTCAGACAGTAGCATTTGAAGAGGTCATTTTCCCACATCTCACTTTCACAAAACAGCATCATTTTTATCAAACCATTGACACATTAGATTGACCTCTTTCTTCTTATCTTTCCTCCTTCGTTTTTGTCCTTCTTAACACCTGACTCAATTTGCAGAACGCACCAAAAAAGGATACATCCATCCAAAATAACAAAAAAATGTAAAAGGAAACTGTGATTCAAGAAAGGCAGAGCATACAAATTGCTGCATGCCAGGGCCAGGGTGCCCGTGGGACTATTAGCTCTAAGGCCGGCCCAGGGACAGGGGGACACCCTTGCTTCCCAGGAGAGCAGAGACATCTCCAACGTGGTTTCTGTATCAGGCCTTCTACACCCATGGAAAGGAGCAGCATCCCAGCCTCTGGCCTTTGTCCTGCCCCTGAAGGTGCTCTGGGCTTCCTCAGCCTTGACCTGAGAGTGACGCTCATTCACTATTGTTGCTCCAAAGGTCGCTGTGGCTTCACAGCCTCAGGGGCACTTGTCCACCTGTCAGGCAGATTCTGTCTAACCACACACTGCATCATCATAATTTTGCCTGAGGAACATTTGCACCGTAGACTTCTGAGAGGAACTTGCCCATGTGTGAACTTTAAAATATAAAATGTATCTATCTCTATTTTGCATTACCTACTTTGAATTTTAAATGTCACCTCTAAAAATGTAGAAAGTCACTGTTGATAACTGTAATTTGGAGAAAGGAAAAATAAGAAACCAAATCAAATCCATGTTTCTTATAGAGCTCATGCTGACCCCCAGGTCATCTTGTCCATGGTTACAGAAACCTGTCCTCACACAGGTGATGGTGATGCTACCCCCCCCCTTGACCTCTCAGACTTGTGGAATTGTTCACTTCAAAGCTGGGCCTTCAGACAAGAATCAAGTCCCCTACCCAAGGTGGTGCAGCTTTCCAGTCCAGCCTCCTGTATAACCTGGCTGTTTGGCGTTTCTAACACCTCTGCCTCCCACATTGGCTCCCTGAGAGGTCTGCATGTTGCATGAAGCACTGTTCTGATTTTTCATTTGGCTTCCAGGAAGGGGCTTTGTTATGTGACTTAAAACCCACACGTAAGATGTGTCCACCTCTTCTAGGTGGGCTCTGGGGACAAATATGAGGGACACAGTTCTCAGACACAGGACATCAGGGATGCTTCAAGCACTGCTTTGGATGTACAAGCTGAGACCCCATGTACCATGGCCATCCTGTCCCCCAGGTCCCTCCCCAGCAGAAGTCTGAAACCAGCCAGAAGGCCAGCCCACCAGGTATTCTCACCACAGTGACACCAGCCCCAGAAAAGCCTGTGGAGGACTTGTGAGCCCTGGGCCCTTCATGATGGGTGCAAAATCCTAGTTCCAGGTGACCGTCGAGGAAATGTCCTGGTAGCATCAGACAAGAACTGGATACAGGGAGCAGACTACACTGGAAAGCTCTCTCACACACATCTGGAAGTAAACTTATAATAGATGCCAAAGTGGTTCAGTGTCGTTGGCAGAAGCCACTGACTCCCATGAAAAGGCCCAAGTGTACAAGAATATGGGGACAACACTTATGTCCAGTTGAACTTCAAGTTCTTTTCTCTCTCTCTCTCTCTCATTGAGTTTATTGGTACATTTTAGGTATACAGTATTGTTACCTTCATCATTGGGATCTTGTACCTTTACATGACAGGTCTTGGTACTCATTTTTTCCCCTTGTCCCTGCCCTCCCTTCACCCCCTCCCCCCCCCATTTATGAACACTTTATTTCCATTTTTTCATTTTCTCATATTTTTTCTTTTCCCTTATTACATTTCCCCTACCCTTCCCACTTCCCCTATACC